AAACTTAAGTATTAGATGGTGCAATTAACCCGTAATAGCATGAGATAAAAGGGCAGAGCAGAGAAACCTTCCGTACAAATAGCGAAAAGGAGGGGAGAGAGCGAATCTCCCCGATGAAGGCCACGAGTAGGAGGAGTGAAATAGCCATAGGAGCTCCCATTGAGTAAAACAGAAATAGAAGTGGGGGTAGGGATGGCAATGGTGCGGGTTTGTCTAAACCATCCCCATCCCCATCTTCAAATATTCAAACCCATACCCGTCCCATACCCATGCGGGGGAATGTTTGGCAAACTCATCCCCATACCCGTGGGTTTCGGGTACCCATGGGTAATACCCGTACCCGTACATCCAACATTATTATCCTAAAATTTACAAGAAAAGTTTTAACTAAACTCTAAACGTAACTATTATATAGCTTATTGTTGTATAGTTTTTTTTTTTGGAAAACACGTGATAAAAATAGTGAATTTTAGTAGTAAAGAGACATGAATGATGCAACGAATCAAAACTCAGCTTTATGAACCAAAATCAAGTACCTGTTACCTTGTGAAACAATATTGTTTCTGGTAATATGATGAGGTGGAGTAAGTTTTATAGAAACCAAATTTCAGAAAATCGAATAAAAAATCGCATATCCCGCCGGTTTTCGGGAAATGAGCATCTCACAATCGTTGCTAGCTTTTACTCGGCCCGTTGGCTAATTAATTTGCTTTATAAAATTTTCATCTTGTCATCATTGTGCTTTCTGGTTTTTTGCCAAGCCATGATAAAATCTAAAGAAATCAAGAATGAACAACTCGATTTGGGATAGGAACCACCGTTCCTGTATCCCTAGAAAATGGTGGTAAACACGGACTCACCTGCCAAACTGGTTTGGATTGAGATTTTTATCGGGTATCAGGGAACCATGTGATTATAAATTAGACTTGATCAAAACGGGCCAAAACTTGAAATTCAGCCTGTTTGACCGACCCATGACAAACTCTAATTATTCTTTACTTTTAAACTTTCTATTTGAAAATAAAAAATAATGAAAGAAAAGAGATGACTGCAATTCGCCATTTGCACATCACTGATTCAGGAATAAAACTATAGAATTTCGAAAGGAAACTAAAAATGTTTAAGATCATTTTAATGTTAAAAATAACCAAATAGATCTTTCTGTTTAGTTTTTTACTAACAAATACCAAACGATTCCCTATAATATACGCTATAATTTAATCATTATGATATCAAATAATTACATAATATATATTTGAAATGATAAAAATTGGACTAATTGGGTTGGTCGAATTTGAACCATTGAATAACTTTAAAATACATTATATTTTAGCCACTAAGATATAAAATAATAGCATAATATATATTATGCTAGAGAAAATAGCTTGTTTTATAATGGCAAACCCATGATGTTCATTTGTTTTACTTGATGGGCAAATCCCATGTAGGTCAGGCTCATTCAATTCTTTTATTTTATGATTAGCGGTTAGCCCATTAGAATTCATGCATTAGTTTATTGTTAAAATTTTTTCTTTTTAGCAATAAAAAGGAGTATTGTTTTTGTCTTTTCATATATATTTTACCACCACGGAGAAATAAAAGGACTTAAAGAAAAAAATTGACACTCCTGGACCCGTTTAAATCCGCATGTGTACGGTAAGTTGGCCCGTTCCACAGAGGAAAAAGAAAAAAATTGACACTCCCTATTCTACCATTCCTACAAACGCTCATGGAGCAGGGAATTTGAAATGGGAGAAGGATTTTTTCCTCTCTGCGATTATATGTTTTTAATTTAAAAAGATACAACAAATGTACTTAGTGTGATTGGTTATGATTAGGGATGGCAATGGGTCGGGTTGGGTCGGGTTTTGCCAAACCCAAACCCAAACCCATGAGTTTATCCATGAAAAAAACCCGGGGTAAAACCCACTGGGTTTGAAAAACTCAAACCCAACCCAACCCGCTGGGTATCCGCGGGTTCATGGGTACCCACGGGTTTTTATCGTAAAAAATTTACAATAACAAGTTCCTATCAAAATTTAAGTCAAATATCAATCTCTCAATACAAATTATCCATGTATAAAACACTTTTTTAGAAAATTCAAGCAAATCACAAATTAACTATACAAATTGTTCAACACCAATCTAGAAAACTCAAGAAAATTGAAGCCAATCACAAATTATCCATAAATAACATGATTAATTGAAAGGAATAAGCTTTCAAATTGAAAGCTTATTCCTTTCAATTAAGTTTCTTCACTTTCCACTCGATAACATCAACTTCATTCTACACAATTAGAAAGAAAAAATTAGACATGTCTCCACAAGCATAAACAGGATTAGTTGTTTAGAATATTAAATTTACCGAGAAAATTAATTATATGGGTGTGGGCGGGTACCCATGGGCCGGGTTTACCTAAACCCAAACCCAACCCGGTGAATAGTGGATGGGGAATAAGCTTTCAATTAATTGAAAGCTTATTCCTTTCAATTAAGTTTCTTCACTTTCCACTCGATAACATCAACTTCATTCTACACAATTAGAAAGAAAAAATTAGACATGTCTCCACAAACATAAACAGGATTAGTTGTTTAGAATATTAAATTTACCGAGAAAATTAATTATATGGGTGTGGGCGGGTACCCATGGGCCGGGTTTACCTAAACCCAAACCCAACCCGGTGAATAGTGGATGGGTTTAAACCCAAACCCGGCCTAAAACTCGCCAACACGGATTTTACCCGCGTTGACCGGGTTGGATCGGGTGGGTACCCGTGGGTTCGGGTTTTGTTGCCATCCCTAGTTATGATCTTTGATTTCTTTAAAGTGGTCATGGTTCGAATCCTAGTAAGTGTCTTTTTAATGAATAAAAAAAAGTAATTGTGAAGACCAAAATGTCCTTCCTACTTTCACTCTGGATGCAAGAAATTTGAAATGGGGCTTCAAGTTTTCTCATTTGGCTTTTATTTATTGTGTAGATTCAACAAAACACGATCATTTTCTTAATACGGTTCAAAGAATATGATCCTAAAATATTCGTTAATACATAATATAGAGTATAATATTTTTCAAATTATTATGTTCTAACTCTGATACATCTACTAAGTAATAATTTCCTAAAATTTACAAGAAAAGTTTTAACTACAACTCTAAACGTACCTATTATATCACGAATTCAACAAAACACGATCATTTAATACGGTTCAAAGAATATGATCCTAAAACATTCGTTAATACATAATATAGAGTATAATATTTTTCAAATTATTATGTTCTAACTCTGATACATCTACTAAGTAATAATTAACTAACATAATCTTGTTGACAAGGGGGAAAGTGAAAGAGTGAAAGGAGAATTGAGGGAAATGAATTAGGTTTTGATTAAGATGGTCATGCAATTACATTTCTACTATTTATTTCCTCGAGTTATCCTTATCATCATCGATAGATTACAATTTGATCCACATATTTTTGTATATGTGAAGAAATTCTCTTGGTCGGACGGATATGGGTATGAAGCGGGGGAGACTAAAACCATACCCATCATACTTTTTGCGAGTTTTACCAATACCCGCGGCCAAGGGTTTGATTGCCATCCCTAAGTGGGGGAGAGGCAGTTTTGAGGCAGTTTACGAGAGAGGATCCGGTGACTAAGGGGGGGGGGTGCTTAGTCACTTGACTAAGCCCCTCCCAGCCCTTAGATCTGGACACATTAACCTGATGGTTAAAAAGTGGGAAGGGTTATTTAATTAATGAAAGGGGTAGTTTGGGTATTATGGAAAATTACGAAGTATACAAACCGGACTTACAATCAGTACAAACCATACAAACATACGAACAGTACAAACTAGAGTGACAAAACATACAAACAGATTTACAAACATTACAAACATATGAAATGTACAAAAAATACAAACAAGACCGACAAACAATACAAACCATACAAAAAGAAAAAACAACCAGGTTGATTTTGGAGGCTCCATCCCTATATAGAGAGGCTCCTTCCCAAAGTCAACCCGGGTGTTTTTTAGACATACAAACATGGTGGACAAAAATGACAAACTAGACCAAAAATTCATACAAACTGGAAAAACACCCGGGTTGACTTTGGAGGCTTCATCTCTATATAGAGGAGTTCCATCCAAAAGTCAACCAGGTTGTTTTTTATACATAAAAAAACATTACAAAACATGGTTGACAAAAATGATAAACATGGTGCACAAAAATAACAAAGCTTACAAAAGAACCCACAAACATTAAAAATAACAAAGCTTACGAACATTACAAAATAAACCGACAAACATCACAAATCTAACACTATCTCTGGAAAAACCTTCTCCGGTCGCCGGAAAAGTCTACTCCGGTCAGTAGAAAAATATCTCTCTCTCGTGATAGGGATGAAAATCCCACGGGTGCAAAACCAAATGGGGAAGGGATGAAAATCCCATCGGCTGCAAAACCAAATGGGGAGCGTAATAGGACGACCGACGCCGCCAATCTCTCTCTCTCTCTCTGGATGAAAATCCCACGGGTGCAAAACCAAATGGGGAAGGGATGAAAATCTCATCGGCTGCAAAACCAAATGGGGAGCGTAATAGGACGACTGCCGCCGCCAATCTCTCTTTGGGAATGGACTCTGGGAGGCGCCAAAAAAGGAAAAATGGCGCACAAAGGAAATAGTTGTCCGGGAGAATGATGGTCGGCGGGGTAGAACGCCAGCGACGCAAAAATGATGGCCGGCGGGGTAGAACGCCGGCGCTGGGAAATTATGGTCGATGGAGAACGTTGCCGGAAACGGAGGGGGAGAATGGGTAATTCGGGGAGTTTTTAAAATTATTTAATAATTAAAAAATAAAATAACCATGCAATTACTACATTATCCTTCATTAAATTGAATTAATTAGAACTATTATATTTTAATGAGCTTGTATTGTATGACCGAGATCGACTTAGGCAAGTGACTATGGAATCCTAGTCACCTCATCTTATCCCGCAGTTTACAACCCACTGATTCAATAGAATCAATCCATTGCTCTCACTTCCCAAGATTTCTTCTCCAAGGGAACACAGAAATGGACAAGCGACCGATAATCGCCGCCGCCGGCGATACTGACCGGATATCAGCACTGCCCGACGAAATCATACACAACATCCTATGCCGTCTGGACGCTCCCGAACAAGTGGCGAGAACCAGCTGGTTGTCCCGGAGATGGCTTCATCTATGGCAATCATACCCGATGCTTGAGTTCCGCCTCCAGGAGTTCGACCAGTCCACCGCCACTTACGAAAAATTCGCCAGATTCGCTGCGGCCTCGTTCAGGAGGATTTCTCAGTACTACGAGAACTGCAAGGCGCCGTTGGACTCGTTCAGATTCTCACTGCCGATTCGCGGATTCGCTGATTTCCAGATCGTGAGGGAAGACTTCGACATGTTGCTAGCGTCGGCGCTGGGTGGCGCCGCCGAGTACGGATCCCCGCTCGAGGTCGTGATCAGATTCGGAGCCCTCAGCGTCTACAGTTTCCCGGCGGGATCCTTCTCCAATTACAGCCGCACGAAAGTCCTCAAGCTCCAATTCTGCAACTTGAACGTGTTGAAACCAGAGTTGGAGAAATTCTCTCAAACTCTCGCTTTACTTGATCACTCTTTCTCTCATACACTTTGTAGAAAGGAAATTGGTATTGAATGTGAGAATGAAAAACTACAAAGAGTGAGAAAAGTTCACCAAGCCCGTAGGCTATGCCAAACAAAGTTGGCCTTTTGACAAAAACAAACTCGAAGAAACACTCTTCCCAAATTTGATTCACCCAGCACCACGCACTGTGAATCAAGTAACTTAAAGAGATAACGAATTGGACACAAAGAAGACAAATAGGCTCTCTGCTATTCTCTCCTATCTCACGAAGTCAAGTTCTAAATAAAAGCAACTGAACTATTTATACAGAGAAGCAAGAGATAACCGTTGGCAAAATCAAAGACGCTCCTCTGAAGGATTCAACATAGCTCTCCTTGAGTCGGTGATCACTTTGAGTGAGATCTTCAATTTCGGATTGCTACGCTTTCTGAGGATTTTCATAGGAGGGAGGCTAGGGTTGAGCAGCTCGATGTTTTTTCTTCAGAATGTGGACTTGGAAGGACGATTCTTCTGCTAAGTGTCCGTTGGAGATCAGGCGACGTCGTGTGGCAAAGTGAGGCGATCGAGAAGTAGCGAGAACGACACCGTTTAGATTTCTTGATAAGGACGCTATTTAGTCTTCAATTTCCCCCTTCGTCCAACAAGTCCGGCCTTTTCTGCAAAAGAAAACAACAGAAAACACGAGCAGTACACGAAGAAAAAGATAGAACTACTTTTAATTACTTCGAAACTAACAAGGAAAGTACAGATAAAACAACAATTACTAAAGAAACTTCCCCCTGGGAAGGATTACATTACCTAACTACCAGACACAAAACAAAGCTACAGAACTACACCTACAACTAAGAGAAACTAAATGTTTGGGAGATATTCCCCCTTAGAAACAGCAGGTAGAATCAGGGAACGGGAGAGGTTTGGTCTTCTGGGTCTTCTGGGGTTGAATCATCTGATGAAGTGTTCCCATCTGTCACCGTGAACACGAGATTAGCAGATTTGCTAGACTCTCCAACAACGTTCTTTCCTTTGTTGCCCCCAGTGGACTTAGAGCGAGCACTGAGAAAGGAAGTTGAGGGAAGTGGTGGTGGAGATGGAGCCGGGTCAATGGGAAGATCTAGAACCATCAGGACATTGAGAGCTCCCACATACATGGTGTGCGAGACGCTCCGATGATCAGATAGATCAACCCCTAGGTTGATCAGCATTCGGGTTATAATGGACCCAAATGGCATTAAGCCTTGATAATGCTCGTCTCCTACTGGAAGAAGGTTTCCAAACATCAAACTCGAGTAATCCAGTTTACGCCCTGCTGTGGCACTGGAGATGATCCATAGGTCGAGTGGTAGAACCACATCAAGATTGAAAGTTCTTGGGAAGAAAACGTGAGTGATGAAGTGATGGAAGATTCTCAACCGTGGTGTTAGCCAGTTGATGGGGATCGGCACGTCTGTCCCTCCTGTGGGTTCAGTGGAGAAATTTGAGTATTCGGTGGGCAGGATGAAGTTTTGCTTCCAAAACTCTGATGGATGGGCAATATCGATTCCTTGAGAAGGGAATCCTAAAATTCCATTGATGGCTCCTACTGGAATGGTCAATAAGTGACCGTAGACTACTGTGGAGAAACTTCTGGTGCTGACTCCTTGGCATCGAAGATTTGAGTAGAAGTACTTGACTGCACCAGGACAGGCCGGATGAAGTGGCTGTCGGAGGAGATAATCTCATCCAAGAGCTTCAATAAGAGACATAATGTCGTACTTATAGAAGTTGAATTCACAGGGATCAATTTGGATAGTGTGGTGCAATCTCCTATTCTCAAAATGTTGGAGATGACGATGGTGGTTTATTACCACAGGCTCATGGAACATATAGCCTGGATAAGTGTGTACCAACCCATCGAATCGAAAAGGACGAGGCAAATGGTCGCTCATTTTGGTTTGGAAGATGTGATTTGCTTGGTGTTTTGTGGGTGCAAAGTGAGGCTTTGGTTTGCTGGAGGATAGTGTGAGGAGATGAGAGTGATAGAATGCCTTAAATAAGCTTCGAAGAGTAGAGGGGGAGCGGGAGAAGAGAATACGAAGAGTCTGTTTTTCCTAAACCGAGACTAATGATTACATAAAGGCAGAAAAGATACGCATGAGCAGAAGGAAATATTTTGTTTAAGTATATCAAGACAAACAAAATGCCTAGATTACTACATACCCAATAACTTGATTAACTTTTTAGATCTTTTATTTGGTTAAAAGATTTTAACCCTAGTTCAGTGCACAATTGAGTAAACCTTTCACAAGCTAGTGGTTTTGTGAATAGGTCGGCTAGCTGAAGTTCAGTAGGTATGAATTGCAAGCATACATGACCTGCTAGCACTAGGTCTCTTATAAAATGATATTTTACTTCTATGTGCTTAGTTCTAGAGTGTTGCACTGGGTTTCTTGTCATACAGATTGCACTCGTATTGTCACACCAGATTGGGATGTTTTGAAATTTGAATCCATAGTATGCTAATTGGGTTTTCATCCACATAATTTGTGCACAACAAATTCCAGCAGCGAGATACTCTGCTTCAGCTGTGGATAGTGCAACTGCCCCTTGTTTTTTGCTAAACCAGGATACAAGTGCAGGACCTAAAAATTGAATGCTCCCTGAAGTGCTTTTCCTATCAACTAAGCTTCCTCCAAAATCCGAGTCACTATAACCATTGAGTTCAAATGAATCTGAGAATGGATATCATAGTCCAATCTCCATAGTTCCCTTGAGATATCTAAAAATTCTTTTTACTGCTTTCAAGTGACTTTCTTTAGGATTGGATTGAAACCTAGCACATACCCCAACACTGAATTGAATATCTGGCCTACTTGCAGTTAAGTATAAGAGAGAGCCTATCATTCCCCTATACTTCTTTTCACATACAGGTACACCAGATGAGTCTTTGTCTAGTTTTAGACTTGTGGCCATTGGAGTTTGACAAGAGTTTACTGTTTCCATGTTGAATTTCTTGAGCATGGTTTTGATGTAGTTAGTTTGACTTATGAACATTCCTGAATTTGTTTGTTTAATCTGCAACCCTAGGAAATGCGACAGTTCTCCCATCATGCTCATTTCAAACTTAGATTTCATTAATTCACAAAAGGTTGTACACATATTTGAACTAGTTGATCCAAATATGATATCATCAACATATATTTGTACTACCAGTGTATCTTTATCTTCCTTCTTAATGAATAATGTTTTGTCCACGTTTCCTTGAACAAACTCCTCTTCCTTTAGAAAGGAGGATAATTTCTCAAACCATGCTCTAGGTGCTTGTTTCAATCCATATAGTGCTTTTGACAACTTATAGACATAATCTGGATGTTCATGATCTACAAAACCTGGGGGTTGGCTAACATATACTTCTTCATTGATTTCTCCATTTAGGAAGGCACTTTTAACATCCATTTGATATAAGGGAATTTTCATATAACATGCATATGCACACAGCATTCTTATGGATTCAATCCTAGCAACAGGGGCAAAGGAATCTTCAAAGTCTATTCCTTCTTCTTGCAAATACCCTTGGGCTACCAATCTAGCTTTGTTTTTTGTGATTTCCCCTAGCTCATCAGTTTTATTTCTGAAGATCCATTTTGTTCCTATAATCAGTTTGTTAAAGGGTCTTGGTACTAGTTCCCAAACATGCAATCGAGCAAATTGTATAAGTTCTTCTTGCATAGCGTGTAGCCATTCATCATCAGTTAATGCTTCTTTATAATTCTTAGGTTCAAGACGTGAGACGAAAGCATACTGACCTGGATTGTACTTACCTCTGGTGTGTATCCCTTCATTTAGGTTGCCGATGATTTGTGATGCTGGATGTCGTTTTTGTATGTAGGCATGCGCCATTCTTTCTTCTGGTTGATTGGATGGTTCGTCCTTGAGATCATTGTCCTTCTTAACACTTTCCTCCTCCTCGTCTAATTTTGCATCATTGATGCTTGGCATTGGAAACAGAAGGTCTATGTTCTCTGCAACAATTTTCTCAGAACAACCAGCATCATCAAATTTAACAAAAACCGATTCTTCTACTCTTCTGGTTCTCATGTTATACACTCTATAAGCCTGCCCTTTCATGGAGTATCCAAGAAAGATTGCTCGTTCAGCTTTGGCATCAAACTTATATAGGTGATCCTTGGTGTTTAATATATAACATTTGCACCCAAAGGGGTGAAAATAGCTCAAGTTTAGAGTTTTATGCTTCAAAATCTCATAAGGTGTTTTCTCCAAATGTTTCCTGATTAGTACTCGATTTATTACATACACAGCTGTCATGACAGCTTCTCCCCATAAAAACTTAGGACTGCCATATTCAAGTAACATGGTCCTAGCAGTTTCTATTATGGTTCTATTTTTCCTCTCCACAACACCATTTTGTTGTGGTGTTCTAGGAGCAGAAAAGGTATGGTTTATACCTTTATCATTGCATAAGGCAATGAATTGTTCTGACACAAACTCCCCTCCATTATCACTTCTTATTGACTTAATGCCAGATTCAGATTCATTTGACACTTTGGAAACAAATATTTTGAACATTCCAAAGGCTTCATCCTTTGATGCCAAAAGATATACCCATGTGAAGCGAGAAAAATCATCAACCAGAACTAAAGCATATGATTTACCTCCAAGACTTACCACATTTGTTGGTCCAAACAAGTCCATGTGAACCAATTCATATACCTGAGAGGTGGTAATGTCCTTCTTTATTTTGAAGCTTTTCTTGGTTAACTTACCACTTGCACATGCATCACAGAAGAAGTTAGACCTATCTTTTAATATGGGTATGCCTCGTGCAGACTCTAGTCTTGACAGTTTTGACAATTTTGACATGCATATATGTCCTAACTTTCTATGCCACAGAATTTCCAGTTCATTAGATGCAGCATGGAAAAATGTTTCATTAAAGGTATCTAAGTTGTTTAAATTAACAACATACATATTGTTTTTCTTTATGCCAGAAAACAACATTTTGTCATCACTAATCCTATAGATTTTGCAAGAATCAGCCTCAAAAACTACTCTGTTCTCTGAACTACACAATTGACTAATTGAAAGCAGGTTGTGTTTCAGACCTTCAACAAACAGAACATCTTTTATGACGGGAAGTGGACCATTACCAATGGTTCCATTTCCTATAATTATTCCAACCCTGTCATCTCCAAACACTACCTTACCTCCCTTTTTATACTTTAATGAAGAAAATAGCTCTTTTCTACCTGTCATGTGGTGGGAGCACCCACTGTCCAGGTACCAAATGTTTTCCTTTTCTCCTAGCTTCTGCAATCAATCATTTGTTAGCACATTTTGGTACCCAAAATGTTTTATACACAACTGGTTTCTTCGGTTTCAGCCGATCATAGCAAAACTTTGCTAGATGTCCCTTGTGCTTGCAATAAGTGCATACATATATCTCTGTGTATTTCCTATGACTTGACACCTCATTCCTTTTTCTTGATGCCATGTGATATGTTTTAGCCTTTCCATTTATGTCTTTAGGAGTTGTTTGATACTTATAGAATGAGTTTTGTTTTAACTCTTGATTTTCTTCTATTAGTTCAAAAATCTGTTTCCTAAGTCTGTTTTCATTAGCATGCTGGACTGCCACCATTTCTTTCATTTTATGTAATTCCTTGGTCATGTGATGATTTTCAGTCATTAACAGGCAATATCTGCTCCTAAGCCTATTGCATTCCTCTTGAAGATTCTTTAAAGCATGCAAGAAATCTGACTTAGAACTAGGATGTTCACTTATCTCCGAGTCTGAGTCAAAGACTACCTGATAGCTGGAGGGATGCCCTTGATTGCTGCTTGTTTCTGATGGATCATTTTCCTCCTTGGTTGCAAAAGCCATATAAGCTAAATTTCTTGTATCAAGTTCTTCCTCTGAACTGTAATCACTCCAAGAGGCCGCCATAGCTTTCTCCTGTTTCTTCAAATTTAAGGGACACCTTGATCTCATGTGTCCTGTCTTTCCACACTTAAAGCAGATGGTCAAATCCTTCTCACTGGAAGACCTAATGTCTTCCTTAATTTCCTTCCTATCACGTTCTCCATCTTGTCTTTCCAATCTTCTGAATAGATTTTTATCATTCTGAGTATTCTTATATGCATAACGTCCAGCTGTTCTATCTGCTTCTTTACTTCTCCTAGGTTCATACCCCCTATTGTTAAACTGTCGAGTGGACCCATAGTTCTTTCTATCCTCAAAATCTCTTTTCATTTTTAGCATTTTATGAAATTTTCTACTGATGAGAGCAAATTCCTTTTCAAATTCTTCTCCCATTTCACATTCAGACTCACTTTCATAGTCTTGTGCTTTAAAGGCTATTACTTTCTTGCGTTTATTATCTTCCTTGTTCATCTGAACAATTACCTCTTCATGACTAAGCAGTGACCCTACTAGTCTTTCAATCGACAACACATTCAAATCTTTTGCTTCCTCTATAGCAGTTCGCTTTGGTAGCCATTCTCTAGGTAAGCTTCTCAAGATTTTCCTAACGAGATCCTTAGTAGCAAAAGTTTTTCCTAACCCTTTTAATCTATTTATCAGATCATTAAATCTTTTGTACATGCTTGTGATTGATTCTCCTGTGAACATTTCAAAAGATTCATATTCATTTAACAGGACATCAATTCTGCTTTCTTTTACCTCAGACGTACCTTCGTGAGTAGTTTCCAGTGACTCCCAAATTTCTTTGGCTGTTTCACACTGTGCTACTTGGCTTCTTTCTTCTGGACTGAGAGCAGAGAACAGTATATGCATTGTTCTTGAATCCTGCTAGGAAGACAGTTTCTGGTCGTCTTCCCATTTCTCTTCTTCTTCATCATCCATGGGGATTGGCCCATTCTTGACAATAGCCCATAGCCCTCCATCAATTCCTCGAAGGTATATCCTCATCCTCTTCTTCCACACTGTGTAATCCGTGCCATCAAACCACGGTGGATTCGTGTTTGCTGAGTAGGATCCAGAAGCTGATTGTGTTCCAGCCATTCTTGTGATCGTCTTTGGCGAAGTTTTAATCTCTCAAAGACCCAGCTCTGATACCAATTGTTGAAACCAGAGTTGGAGAAATTCTCTCAAACTCTCACTTTACTTGATCACTCTTTCTCTCAGACACTTTGTAGAAAGGAAATTGGTATTGAATGTGAGAATGAAAGACTACAAAGAGTGAGAAAAGTTCACCAAGCCCGTAGGCTATGCCAAACAAAGTTGGCCCTTTGACAAAAACAAACTCGAAGAAACACTCTTCCCAAACTTGATTCACCCAGCACCACGCACTGTGAATCAAGTAACTTAAAGAGATAACGAATTGGACTCAAAGAAGACAAATAGGCTCTCTGCTATTCTCTCCTATCTCACGAAGTCAAGTTCTAAATAAAAGCAACTGAACTATTTATACAGAGAAGCAAGAGATAACCGTTGGCAAAATCAAAGACGCTCCTCTGAAGGATTCAACATAGCTCTCCTTGAGTCGGTGATCACTTTGAGTGAGATCTTCAATTTCGGATTGCTACGCTTTCTGAGGATTTTCATAGGAGGGAGGCTAGGGTTGAGCAGCTCGATGTTTTTTCTTCAGAATGTGGACTTGGAAGGACGATTCTTCTGCTAAGTGTCCGTTGGAGATCAGGCGACGTCGTGTGGCAAAGTGAGGCGATCGAGAAGTAGCGAGAACGACACCGTTTAGATTTCTTGATAAGGACGCTATTTAGTCTTCAGAACGGACTAGCAAAGGTTTCTCTGCACGCTCTCCAGGTTCTTGATCTCCGATCTGTCCATCTCACCGAACAGTTGCTCTACAATGTCGTTGCTAATGCTCCTAATCTCGAGTCATTGTGCTTGCGACTATGCCCTGGAATTCGGAAGCTAGATGTCACAGTAAGCAATTTCCCGAAATTGAAAACCCTACACGTTAATTTTGTATCGTCATATGCCTATTTGGGTTTCCAATGTGAACTCCAGCTTACTACAGCTCCTTTCCTAGAGAGGTTAGTCTTCTTCGAGCTTGAAAGGATGGAATATAAGCTGAAAGCAGTATCATCGTCCACTTCAGCTCCGAATCTAAAATCTCTGAAATTTTGGAGCATAAATCCAATCTACAAGGCTTGATCTTGAGGACTTCATTTCCAGATTGCCATCTCTTGAGTATCTGTACCTGTGGGGTGCATGCCTTAGTGGCCAGTATCTCTGCAGCCTCATGGCTAATGCTCCTTGTCTCCAGACATTGAGATTCGAGTATCGCCCTGTAATGTAATGGGAAGGCAGCTGAAGATATCTCGCGGCAACTTTTCTGACTTGGAAATCAGACTCTCCTCTGCACCTCGAGACGTGAAGTACCAGATGGAGCTCCACCTTACTTCAGCACCTTGCCTGAGGAGTTTGGGGATTATAGAGTTGAGGGGGAGGGGGAGCTACAAGCTGAATATAGAATCAGCATCTGCAGCTCCGAATCTCAAAATTTTGAACCTTAGTGTCCCCAAGGGATTCACGCAGAGCCATCTTGATGAGTTTGTTTCCAAGTTGCCATCTCTCGAGCATCTCTATTTGGAAATCACCTATGGCGGCAGCAGCAGTGAAATGAGTAAGATGAGGGTTTCGAGTCATCAGCTTCGGGTGTTAGAGCTGCATGACCGTGTCTGCGGCGCAGAGAAGATGAATCTGCGGGAGCTTGAAATAGATGCTCCTAATTTGGTGACTGTCCGGTACATGGGACGTCGGTTCAGGTTTCCAAGCAAGATTAATGTTGTGAATGTGAGTTATGATTGTCGATTTGTAGTTGAAGGGTATAGTGTGCCTTCCGCCACTATGTGCTTGACATTCGAATGGTTTCTCCGACTGAGGCAGTCTCTCTCGACATTGAGTCCTTTCCACCTGGTACTGCAATTGCACGGCCTGCGGATGTTACAACAGGTATGGACATTTCTAATCAATCAACTCATGGATGACACCAGTATACACTGTTAAGAAATGATAAATGTAATCTGTTATCTACCCGTGTATCTTGATTTTCAACAATTACCATTGCAGTCGGTGTTTGTTACTTCATCGTAGTATTCATATATTTTCTTCTACTTCTTTTGATGAATCAAGGTCTCATTTGATTTGAGTCAAGTTGAATGCACTTCACCTCCTGTAACCATTCAGCACCTGCAATTGGAGACCTCATTCGTGAATTCCCCAGATAGCCCCGAAGATGAGTTTGATAAGGCTCCTCCTGAGGTTGTTCACTGTGATATACAAAATGACGCTACTTTCCTCGATGGCCTATTTTGGGCTTGCCGCCCTAAATTCATCGACATGACCCATCATTCTGATGTAGATCGTCGGTTTGCTGAGGTATACTTACCCCTCTCCCGTCTTGTTACGTAAGACTAGTTCAGTTTACTACAACTGCTTGCCCTCTCTGGTTTGCAATCAATTATACATCTAGACATTTTTTTTTCTTATTTGTACTGAAACAGTTCGTGTACGAGCAACTTACGAACAAAGACTCCGCTAAGTGTTGTGTGGACACCAAGTGTTGGCGACATGAGCTAAAGGATGTGAAGATAGAGAATGCAGTTCATGATTGTAGCAGCGAGGCCGTGGAGGTTTTCAAGAACGTCTCACCCGGTGCGACGATTTCGTTTATGTTAACGTGGTGTTAATTGTCGGATCGGTGTACAAAGGCTCGATTTGTTTAGGCTTTCGTTTGTTAAATCGGTTTGAGCAAGAGTAATTGTCTGAATTAAGCCTGATGCCTTGCCAACTGATAGGATCTGAACAGACCCTTAATAGGGTGTCAAGCGTGCCTAAGTTTTGGTCAGAGAGAGTGTTACAGCATCAACACTGAAAGATACAATCTTGTGAACTTGGAGAGCACTTGGACTAGATCATTAAGAGGAAATTGATATCCCTTGTGGCAATTTTTTTGCTGCTGCTGTAATCTTATTGTTGCTTCTGCTGGTATTTTTCCTACTGTAATTTTTGTTGAAGCTGCTATCAATTTTGGATATGATGATGTTGGTCTCCATTTCGTGGGGACTGGGGAGGTAGTAATGCGGGTTATGATAGGCAAAAGTTTTGCATTCTCCAAACAATGATTTATTATTATTATTATAGTTAAGGGTAAGTATATAATTTGGTATAAAATTAAATTTTTATTTATTGAATATTAACAATCATAGTTACCAAATAATTAAATTTTTAATATCTTTTTCTCAATCTAGAAAGTTAACTATCATTAGATTGTTGAGAATCCATTGATTAAAACTTCAATTCTCCAAGTGAGTCCTAAACGTTTTTGGAACACTCACATCGTAATACCATCAAAATTTTCCGTACAAATATATATTTAATGCTTATAACATTCATAATTATTAATATTATTAGGATTATATTGCTATAAATACTAACACAACCATAAATTATCCATACCATTAATAACAAATACAAAATAGTTTTTATAATTCTTGGTGCGACTCGGGTGGAAAGCAAGTTGGATTTTTGGCGAAGCACATCCAATCCACCCCACCAATTCAAAAAAGGGTAAAACTCGCATATGACCAAAACCTGTCAATATCGGGTTTTACATGCTTTGACCTTATCGATCCGGTCGAGTACAGACCCGGCCCAAACCCTGTGCTGGTCAGACCCTCAGCACAGGGCCTCAATTTTATTGGGACCTCATAATCAATTAAGTCTCGAGACCCACAGAATCCATAGGGTATGGATGCTACCTTGGGCTCGCAAGACCCCCACACAAACCCTTAGTCCGGAGGCCCCGTTGGGATGGCGAGGCCCACACACACAAAAACCCAAAGTACAAAGGCACAAGGAGAAGAATCGAACCATGGACCTATCCTTTTCATTCAAATAAGATGAAACCACTGAGTTACGACTTGTTTGTTGAATCAATACTAACGGTTAGGTATTTAATCTTCTTCTCTTTTCCCAAAATTCTCAACTTCCCAAAAATATCCAATGCCTAAATATGAATTGTACACACCCAATTCTAATTAACTCTTAATCAATGTTCATCCCTACTATTCAGGCTCCTAATCAACTTCTTTTATGTTGTAACATTTTTTCTTTTACTTTTGCAGGGAACTTATATTAATTGGAAATTTGGAATCATCAATCTATGGTTATTGTTTTTAATTATGTCAACCCGAAAGTTTGAAAAAGTTAATTTCTAAGCTTAGATAATATTTGAATATTTGAAAATAGATAATATTATTATTTTCCAATCATTTTCTGAAGTTTTTGTAATTTTTATTATTATTTTATAATTTTTATTTTTAATAAATTTATGAGAAAACGTTTTGGGGCCATATTTTAAATTGTCGAACAAGTCCTCCGATTATCATGGGACGGCCATGGTCGAGTACCCTTGAGTTTGGGTTGCCATCCTACTTAACTTTAAGAAGCAAGTAAATAACATCGGATGATGATACCTTAAAATTTTGAGAGATTCTACGGTTGAGATTTAATATCATATTTTAATTCCTTGCTTTTCTTAATTGGTTTGTATAGGCTAATAACATCCCTAAATTATTCATATTATTAGGACTATATTACTATAAACATGAACACAACCATAAACTATCCATATCATTAAGAGCAGATACATTGTAATTTTTTTATACTTTTTTGGGGCGTGGATGGAAAGCAAGTTGGGTTTTGACAAAGCACACCCAAGCCAACCCGACAATTGAAAAAATGATAAACCTCGCATCTGACCAAAACCCATCAATATTGAGTTTACTGACTTTCACCGTATCGGGTAGGGTACCTTGGATTCAGGTTGTCGTCCTACTTAATATTAAGGAGCAAATAAATAACCTCGGATGATGTGCTTATAACCTGATCTAATACCTTAAAATTCTGAGTAGAAATAGATCTAAGATTAAATTTCATATTTTACGTTCTTGTTTTTCTTAATTGGTTTGCGTCTCTTTCATTTTGATTCGGATTTTAGAAATACTTTCACGGTTTCACAGGAAATTAAAGAAAAAAAAATAGATTCATTGTGATCTACAACATAATATTTTTTTTTTGATATTTTTCTTTCATTTTGAAATCACATGCATCACCATTACCACCATCATACCTCCATGATTACATGCTCTGTGATTAACGTGCTTTCTTTTTGTTCAGAATTATATAAAAAATGAGTGTGCTTTTGTAACTTAAAACATAATTAATATGAAACAATTCTTGTCTTTCTACCGATAGAAGAACAAACTCCATGGAAGTTCGCCCTTCTCCTCTCAGTCTCTCACCCTTAATTATACCAAACGGCCGGAAATAAAAACGATATCGATCGGCCAGCAGTGACAACACTGATCGACAAGTGCGTTGATGAAATGTTTAATCCCCAAAATAGACGTACGCAGTTTAAACATGACCTGGAAACGAGAACGATATGTAGCCTGCTCGAACTCTTTGGTTAACTCATGTACCCTTGATTTGTTTTTAGTATATTACACATTTCAGCTCAAATTTAAATTCTATTAATTAGACAACGTTCTAAATTTTTTATCACCGGATTTTATTTAATATAGTAATAAATATAACCTAGAATTGCAACCAATTCGTGCCATTTTAGTCCGTAATTTGACACGAATCGCCTCATAATCATTATTCTGAGCAGACAGTTCATGTCAAAACGATATTGATCATCAGTTGTGATATGATGGACAGAAAAACATATGAATTTGCACAACAATATAATCATTTCAGATTTATTTTGAATTGTGGGCTTTCGGTTTTAGAGATTTAGGATTATAGTTACAATTTGAGGTGTAGGGTTAGGGTTCAAATTGAAAGTTTATTGCATAGAGTAATGCATTAATTAATTATGATTCTATGTTATACCATCATATATCATAGACTAATGTTACCAATTACAATTCAAAATTCGATGTATTAAGACTCATTTTAGAGTTGAGTGCATAATATGAACTCTTTTTTTTAGTGCATCGTAGAAGCCACTGTAATTTTGTAATTGGTAATTATTCATTTTTTCGAGTGCCTACTAGGGGTGGCCAATTGGTGGGTTGGTTGAGTTTTGGTATTAAATTGACTCACCCATTTAATAGCAGGTTGGTATAATTGTGACATGTTATCCACCCACATTATTTTTTGAGTTTGGTTGGGTTGGTGGTGTATGGATGCAGTTGGCTTGTGGGTTAGCCCACAAAAACAATTCTCCAACTAGATATTAAGAAAGTTGACTAACATTTATAATAAGTTCCTCACAAATTAGTAAGACTGTATCAGTTCATACACTTCCCAATTTGTCTCATGTAGATCCGTGTAGTATTTGCATCCAGTTTTATACAATTTTCGTTATACTCTATCAACCAATTGTATGCAGAGAAAACTGACGCATTTTGCAACTTTGATACAATTAATAGTTTATAATTTACATCTCAATATCTTATAGACATTACACAACATATATAGTAACCAATAATAGTAGTCGAAAAATATCTAATGAATTATTCACAAATGTATCGATGTCAAAACACGGATTAAGCCCACCGCCAACCGTGCCAACGGGATATGGCATATATTAAATTTCTAATTTTTTTATTGGTAAAATTTTTGTAATCTTTTGATTGGTGTTTGGTTGTGTGAATTACACCAACGGGATATGCTTTATGTTTTCAATAATGGTATTTATATATGACCAGAATCTCTGTCTTTTACCTTTTTTGTTCTGTTTTGGACTAGGACATCGCGCATTGAAAAGATATATATATATAACAGGTTAATTGGTTACGTACGTTTGTATAGGAACGAATTGATTGGCGATTATATCAAAATGAAACTTTGTATATTGCATGGCTATAAAACCTCAGCTCCAACAAAACATGGTTTATTATTAATCAACACAACTACTGGAGATTTACCAGAAGAATGAAGATCAGTATGACAGTATCAAACTGGTTCACAGTGGCTTCATCGTTTTCACTGCTCGTCATCGTCGTTGTTCTTCTTCTTCTGAACAGCTCCTCTGGAGCCATGGCATCAAGGACATTCAAAGGTTTGATCCTCTCTCACGATTTCTTTGTATTACACTGGTTTTTTTTTTTTTTTACGATCTTGCTCCCCTGCTGATCAAAGCTATGATGAGCAGTGGCGCCGTGGCGGATCCACGTGGCGGATCCACATGTAGAAGAGAGGGGTCTCAGGACCCCACTTAAAAAAAAACTGGGGAACAAAACTCTTTCGAAATGTACAGTTTAGTATGATCTTTTGTATTTAGGACCTCATACTTTTGTTGATGTTAGCTCATTTAAGGACACCAATCAAGAGCACTTCTACTATGCTATATAGCATTGGTGCTTTAATGTACAACTCAAAGTTGTACCATAACATAAAATGTATAAGTTTAGGTTGTACCATAAAACAATTTGTACTATTATGTTATGGTACACCTTTACAACTTGAAATTGTACCATCACATAAAGGTACAAGTTCAAGTTGTACCATAAAAGAATTTGTACAAAAAGTATAGGTACAATAAGAAGTTGTACCATAACGTAAATGTACAATTTTAAATTGTAACATAAAGACAAAAACCTATAGCACCAATACTATATAGCATTGTAAAATTTCTCCACCAATCAACTCAAAGTTCATTTGGATATTACATAATAAACCGTTTTAAAAAATTTGAAGGACCCCAGTCAATTCAAATTCTGACTACGCCACTGACAGGAACAGAGCCAGCTTGTATCAAGGAGGGGCCATGGCCCCCCCCTAAAGTTACAAATATACCAAAAGTAAGAGAATAAATTGAGAGTTCTTCATAGCGCAGTGACGTTGGCACCTATTATTTTTCTTGACGGCTAAACGTCGCCCTAATTTTACTTTTTATCGCCCTAATTTAAAACATAAAAGACTTGACTAACCTTCACTAATAAAATACAAATCAACAAAACAAACACCCGAAAATCCCTAATTATCCTCCTTCATCTTCTTCCAAAA